CCAGAACTCTACTTGTTTAAAAGTGACTATTTGTCTTTTTCATTTTTAAGGTGCTTTTCAGGCAGCAGGCCGTGACTGAATAATATGACTTCCTTGTTCTCACGGATGTCTTAATAATTATGCAGGCAATTTAAGAATGAGGAAAAAAAATCTCATCAACTTTCATGATAATTATAACCGGTCTGTGTAAGTTTTAAGCGTTTTATCCTTTAAACATAACCCATAATCTGTAGGCATCAAGCCTCTTTTCTGCTTTTTGGAGCTTAAAATCTGTGACCTTTAATTGATGTTTTTCCACTTGGTGGATTAGTGTAATTTAAAAAAAAAAAAAAAACTATGAGCAAGATGTTAAGTGAACCATTTGAAAAAAAATATTTTTGAGTGGTAGAAAATGTTAATTTTATTTTTAGAAATAATGAGTCTCTGCCCGTGGTGAGGTTTTCACATAAATAAGCGAGATTTCCAAAAAAAAAAAAAAAAAAAAAAAAAGTTCCATTAAATATCTACATCTATTTCTGTCTTTGATTAAATATCCATATACATGTGGTCTCCTTCCAAGAACCCCGGTGAGGAGAAGCAGAGGTTATTCATGACTGCTAACAGTGACATTCTGTGTTTGTGTTTGCAGCCTGTGAGCGACTGAATCATAAGTTTATTATGGCCGCGATCATCCCTGCAGAGTCAGATTAGCATTGCCCTATTGGGAGCTTTGGCACAGGTGACAGCCAATGTAATTATAATACTAATTCAATTTGCAAATTGGAGCAAACACAAATTAGCTGTCCAAGCCAGCGTGCATGAGAAATGGGCCAAATCCAAGGAACGAAAAGGGCCAAATCTTGCTCGCTGCGCTTTTAAGGAGCTTTGATGTGTTTAGTTTTAACAGAGAGAAAGAAAGAGAGAGAGAGAGAGAGAGAGAGAGAGAGAGAGAGAGACAGACAGACAGAGAAAGAGACTAACGGTAGCAACGTGTTTTATTAAAATCTGATTATGGTAAATGAAGAGCAAAGAAACATATCCTGCCGAGACGTAATGTGTTCTGGACAGGAATTCTGGCAGCTTGAGTACAACTGAGTCCTGGATAAATGTAAAGACTTAGCATTAAGAATTAAGAAAACATTGAAAAATAAAAGCTCCTCCAATTTTAGGAACACATTATACAATGTGGACTAATTAAAAACTGCTATGAAATTCCCAAATACAACAAAAGTTGCTCTCACATTAATTCTTCCATGTACAATAATTCAAGTTCCGAAATAATATGTGTTCTGAGCAAACCTTAAAGTATGGACCAGAATTGCAGCATGCATGCATTCCCATTTTGACTGGGCCTGGCGTGTAACGTGCAGCTTACCTGCACTGCAGTAGACCCCAGAACAACCCGGTGTTCCTGTTGATGGTGGAGGCTTCGGAGTTTTCCACCAGGAAGTGTCCCTGCGCCGTCCAGAGCACTGCACGACGCAGAGATGGAGGAAAAAGATAGTCACCACTCAGTTGATGACAAGAAGGGATAAATGACGCGGGTGTGTAAGTAAGTAATGCATTCAAATATTCAGTGACCAAAACATAAAAAATAATAATAATAATAAAAAAATGCAACTCACTGCAGTGTTTTGAGGCAGCATTAAATAAGAAAACTTAAAAACAACTGCTCCAAATTTATTTTTTTTGTGTGTGTTTCTCCTTTAAATAGACGGTCTTCTCTGTATTTTGACCAACATTTATGAGTAAACTCAAGACGCTCTGTGTTACTTGGAGATACAGTTCCTAACCCATTTAAGTTCTAATTCAGGATACACTGTTTATAGCATCGTCGTATTCCAGGCGCAATAATCCCTGCACGCATGATTAACCACAACTTTGATTCTTTTTTTTTATTATTATTTATTTTATTTATTTTTTTACCGCAGACAAACAGAGCTTCCATGGGTTGCGCTAGCCCAAGGCAAGCATGCTGAACTATTTACAAGCTTTAAGTTTCTTCAGCTATTCTTAATACCCTGTATGCTGTTTCACTACGATTTCTCAGTGAGAGCAATTAAGCTTAGAGAAAAATACAAAACGTACAGCTGCTTCAGGTCTTTATATTTTTATAAATATAGGGTCGGTGAAAAGTTTACATAAACTCATTATTGGGAAAGATTCATTTTAGGTTTTCAAGATAGTTTCTGGCTGGATATTTGACCACATTTCTATTGAGAGCTTTTCTATACTTTCTATAATTTTGAGATGGACCTTGCGCTTGAGCACAGTCTCCAAATTTTCCAACAGATTTGAGGTTCTGCCATAGCCTTTCTATTTCTATATTCAATACCAATATGTCCATTTCGGAACCCCTTTTGTGTGTGTTTCATATTATTGTCCTTTTTGTACACCCAACTGGGCCTGAGCCGGAAACATCTGCAACAAATTGTCGCTCTCGAAGGAAGGAGATTGGTTAAGATGCTTAAGAACAGACGGGAAGCCAAAAAGACTGCGGCACATTTATTAGAAACTGGAAGAGTCCGCCATCTCTGTCCATGGAGAAGTGAAGTTTTTAAACTGACACTTTCAAGCGCAACTAAAATTTGCTGCCAAAAATTGAGCTGTTTGGTCAATATAAGAAAAACTATGTTTAGATGAGTCTTTCGAACACGAGAACACTGAGCCATGTCAGGCATGGAGGTGGTAGCATCATGCTGAGGGTCTGGTTTGCTTCAATTGTACCAGTGCATTGCACAAAGAAGAAGGAATAACAAACCTTCCAATACAAATTTAGAACTAACCAAAATATAGGGAGAGAATTTATGAAATGGGAACTTACATGCCGCTCCTACACCGATGAGAACTGAGGTCAGGTAAAATGACCAAGTAGAGGGCGTGATGAACACTGCAATGTAACCACTAAACAAAAGCACAGCCATGAGCCACATGTTTTAAGCATTTGTGTCCTCCTTATTTCTCTTTCTCTGCACAGCCAAGTTTACCTGTAAAGTAGGCCACTCAAAAACATGGTCAGCTTCGCTCCAATAACTGTAACAACAGTTGGTGCAAGCAGATTGGAGAAGGAGAAAACTCCGTAGATGATCCCTAGACTGCAGAAGAAGTAAAGAAAATACAGTTTGCATCTTTATACGTTTTGAATTTGGTGAAATAAACTTTTTTTTTCTTTCTTTTACCTGTGGTAACCACTTCCGCTGAAAGATGAATTGTTCAGACTTTTCACCACAGTTTGCTGAAAGGAAAGAAAAAAAAATTCAAGAAAAAACTGAATTAGGGTTGTTAAAAGAGTTCAGAGCCTATTTAGCCTCAGGTCATTCATCCTGTTCGATAATTTCACTGACCATTGAAGAAAATCAGAAACACGAGATGCGCCTGACTAACTCCTCTGACTCCCATTTCCTTCACTTTACAAAAAACAGCAGCAGACCGATTTTCTTATTTATGCTTTCATTAATAAAACGCATGGCTACCTTACATTTTCAATTTTTAGAGTTACTTTTTAAAAGCCCATCTAGGGACAAGTGCTGCGAATTAGCTGTTGCTATTGCACCATGATGCAAACATGGGAAGATGTTTTATTCAGTTTGTCCATGTCAATGTGTGTCTGTCCCTATCAAATAAACTTGAAAAAAAAAAGTACATAAATAATAGCTGCGAGGTTGGTCGTGTTGATTTGTAACACAAGATTTCGTTTTTGAGACATTGTTTTGATTAAAATACATCTTCAATCTGCAAAACTAGCGTTTGAGGAATCCACACTGCAAACTAAAAGCACCATGGTAGACAGATGATGGTTTTTGAACTTACTTCAACGTTCCCACAGGTGGTGAAGGCGGTGAAAATGAACAGAAATCCTACACCCAAAACCACAACGTTGTAAGTCCTTCTGTCTGCCATTCTGTCTTCTTTTTTCCCCTCCTAATACATTATAAGTATTAGTGCTTTTAACGTCCTCTGTCGATCAATTCCACCTACAACTCTTAAATCCTGGAGGACCCGAGTGTCTCCATTTTTTACAAAGTTTACTAACTGCTTAGTTACAGTTTTATTCGCAAACAGCAACCAGAGCACCACTGATAAGATGCAAATAGAAAGCAACAGTGAAGCACTGTACACGAGAACACTTCCTTCCTATTATACAGAGTACACATGACAACTTGTGACTTTAATTACAAGCAGTTTTTTCCGCTCATTTTCCTTTTCACTCAGACTTTTTCTTTCGTCGTCATGAGGACGGTAGTTGCTCTGGGTTCTGCCTCTTCTTCTGTCCGAGTAATTTGTGGTAATTTAGGCTGATTTGTGTTTGCTGCCGTCCGGAGGTCGCCACGGGGAACGTACCTTCATGAAAATTACTGGACATTTGCAAAAACATGAATAAAAACTTCAACAATTACAAAACAATTATTGTGTTACAAAGTAATCTGAGATTTATACAATATACTCTTCTGTGTATTGTGAATCTATTTAGCTTTCAGTTTTGAGAATCCAAAGGGTTTAAAAGCAAAGAAGTGATATTGAGATATTATTCCAGTAGGGTGTCTATAATTGTCATTTTTTTGAAATAGTTGTATGGCTTTTTTATATTTTCAAGCTGCTGGCAAAAACATCTGATTTTATTTTGAATTCCAAGATATTTTCAAAGATGAAAAAGAAGATTTAAAAGTTCCATCGTTCGATGTCTGTCTGGGCTGCTACAGTGCAAAGATGCGCAAAATAACAAGAGTGTGCACTGCCACTTACTTCCGCCTTCACATCCACGTTTTCCAGATGCGACTACTACGTACATGTCTACATTTAGTTTCAAATTATTTCTTTAAAAATCTATTTTTAACAAAGATTATTTGATGGTTCTCATTTTCCCAATTAAACTGACAACAAATTTACATATATTTGTATAGTTATACATTTTCCACGAAAAATGTTCTCCAAATACGCATGCGCGTTTCTATCATATCCGTTTTACGATAAATTGTCTACAAAGGGCTTAACTAAGTCAAGTTTGCGTAACTATATTTATATATATATATTTTTGAACAATTAAATTATATTAACACTTTGTTGCCATCCATGTCAATTTATTGGCGTGCCATAATTAACTTATTTTAGACTTAGTGGTATCGGAGTCATCCTGCTTCCTGTATCCTCTTTGCCACAAACCGACAGATTGTACACAATCATCATGGCGACGCAGGATGGTGGGTATAGAGAAAATTTAGCAAAAATACACAAAACATTTTTAGTTTACGTTTATGTTGTAGCAATAAAATGTCACGTATGTCTAATTTAGTCTTTGAAACATGCTGTTATTATTAGACGGTGATGTAAATGTGCTTTTCTCTGCTACGTTTTTTCTGTAAATGTTCAGCAGCGGTCCTGCTAGCAAACGTTAACGATAGCTAACATCAGTTACATTTATCTATATTTGACGACAGCTGCTATTAAGGTCGAAAGCATTAACAAGTGTGAGCACTTGACCGTAAATTATCATTACATAAATAAGACAATTAAAGATAGTTAACGAAAGTACTGGAATCTCATGCAATAGCTCACGGTAATGTCACTACTTTGGCTAAAATCCTCAGTTTTTGGTTTTGGTTGCTTTGTCTGCCATAATTACATAATTTCCGTTTGTTTATTTTGTTTTTGAAAAAAATTTCGTTCATCGTACAAAACACTGTGGTCACTTTCATTAAATGTTAAGCGATAGAAAGAGCTAGAAAGACCTCGAGAGTGAATGCGGCTGAGGAGGGAAAAAAAGCGAAACTACACCTTAGGAACCTTCAATGTGTTATCTAAAAAAACATCCTCATATCTTATATATTCAGATGAGCAGAGGAATCTCAAGCAGTACTCAAATAGATTATCATGACGACCCACTGACTATATATGCACACTGCTACTATAAAGGATACAAGGTAATCTTGAAACATTTTTGCATAGCATGAAAAATATAGAATTTGGTTTTAGGAAAACAAAAAGTAAACCAACTAGTCAGATGTTTTTTTTTTTTTTTTTTTGCAGAAAGTTCAGTGCTTTGATTGATCAAAAGCAGCAAACTCAGGAGGCCCAGAATCACATTTTCTCTTGGAATTCAGTGTTTCACGGGACATCAGTAGATCAGTAAACAAGATAACAAATGTGTTTGCTCTAATTATCAGTTAAAATATTCTTAATTGATAGACTTACAGCTCCCCTTTCAGAATAACATGCTACATATGTTTATTAGGATTATGATTACTGGCCAAACGTGTGGTATGGTGAAAAACTCCTGGTTGTTTTACCTCATTGCCATGTACTTGGATGGTTTTAACTATTTTTTTTTTATGTATGAAAATGAGTTGTCTGCCACAAGATGTTTCTAAATTTCTGTCTGGTTTTATAACCAACCATTTAAAGTTCTGAAGCTCTTGTAGACTATGCTCAAAAGTAGTAAAGCTCTTGTGAGGTGTTTCCCTTTCAGTGCTCAGTAAGTGGTATGGGCTTAATCATCTGCATTTGTTGTTGATTTAGAAATTTATCACACACTTTGATCTAAAATTAAAACTTACCCAGTTTTATCAATCACATTTGATCATAACACTATGCTGACTTTAGTGTTTTGTCTGTAGTTACTTGTAGTAACTAAATATTTGTTTTACTCTTTATTCTTAAATAACATTCATAAACATTTTCTTTGGAATACACAGTGTTCTGCTGACATATATTCCAGGAATTCTTGTTTCATTTTATGTAAATAAATGTAAACCGGATGCTTTGGCAGGAGATGACGGAGCCGTAATGGACACTGAGACTGAGGCAAAGCCAACAGAAGCCGAGGCATTTGGTGAAACTGTGGAAAAGGCCGACGCGGAATCTACATCTCTCACAGATGCAGGAAATGCCACAACTCAGGACTCTAGTATTAGCAATGGCGACGACGCAGACGACAAGCAGGAGACGGTGGACTTGAAGATTATCTGGAGCAAGAACAAATACGACCTGAAAATTCCTGTCGACAGTACCGGAGCCAAGCTAAAAGAGAGGATCCATGCGCTCACTGGTAGGAGTGTGAAATTGTTTAAATGACTTTTATGTTACATTTCATGACAAATATTGTCGGCTAAGAACTGAAGGAGTTCTCGCGTTGTTTTTAGGTCTTCCACCAGCAATGCAAAAAGTGATGTACAAAGGACTGCTTTCAGAGGACAAGACGCTACGTGACATAAAGGTTACAAACGGGGCAAAAATAATGGTGGTCGGATCTACAATAAATGATGTATTAGCTGTTAACACACCGAAAGAGGTTGTTCAGCAGGAAGTTAAAGCCGAGGAAAACAAGAAAGAGCCCTTATGCAGGCAAAAGGTAAGATTTTTCAACAGCACTGTTAAATATTGAAGTTGTATGGATTCTTTTAAAAACCCGCATTGTGTCTTCAGCAACACAGGAAAGTACTGGACAAAGGTAAACCAGAAGATATAATGCCAGCTATCAAAGGAGCAAAGGTGAGGGGTGACGATTAGAGCTCATTCAAGTTATCTACAGCTGTCCAACATATGTTTTGTCTTTTAAGTAAACTTACAAGGGATTAATAGCTCTTTTGTCGTACCAACAGGAACGATTACCAACGGTGCCTTTATCCGGAATGTTTAACAAATCCGGAGGAAAAGTAAGACTCACATTCAAACTGGAGCAAGATCAGCTGTGGATCGGAACAAAAGGTGACGTTATGATTCCTGACTGAGGTCCCAGCGGTGCAGAGATGCTGGCTATGTTAATGCAGTTCTGCTTATGCTTTCTCACTTGCAGAGAGAACAGAGAAAGTTCCAATGGGCTCTATTAAAAATGTAGTGTCCGAACCCATCGAAGGCCATGACGACTATCACATGATGGTAACTATTGTTGTTGCTCTCTGCATGTCAGATTTATGATTTAGCTGTAAAGTAAAATAAAAGAAGAATCTAATACTCAGAGCTAGCAGATGTGTGTTTGGGCTATACTGCCCAGAAAAGTTCAGAAGGTAAGATTGCTTTATTTACTTACAGAAAAAGGATGGAGCTCAGCTGTATTTTCTAAGTAAAAAGTATTTTGAGGATGTGAAAAGCTGTTGTAGCTTTTCCAAGGAAGCTTTGAGGGAGTTGTGTGCATCAGAGATTGAGTCATAATTTTCAGTGTTTTTGGGAGGAATATTCTCAGGAAAGGCTCTTTTAAGATAAAACTAGTAGTGTGGCATTATAAAGAACTCTGTCAAAGATATGTGTCTCATAGCTTTGCACATATGGAAATGATCCACCACTGGATTTGCTTTATGAATCACAGACCAGGGTCATTATGCCGTGAAGTACTTTTCTTGGAACATATCTGGTATCTGTGCATGTATGACTTATAAAACGTATTAATCATCAGCTCTACCTTACCGAACACTTTAAGTTTAATAGCAGACGGAATAAATGGCTTGTTTAACTGGTTCAGGTTTTAGATCGCATTTGATCAATAGCACAACCCGGATACATGATAGCAGAAATATTGAATCCGATTCTAGAATCACAGCTCTGCTTTGAGGAGCTCAGAGGGGAGAGAATTAAATGTTGTACGTTGTGCATTCTGTTACAGCATTTCAGAAAAAAGAAAAAAAAATGCAAATGTGGTGGTTTGCTGCTTCTGGTCCTGGACAGTATGCTGTGATTGATGGAGCAATAAAGTCTACTCTGTACCAGAAAACCCAGAAATAATCCTTCAGTTTATAACTTTAAGCTCAATCACAGTTGGGTTATGCAGGAAGACCGGTATCTAAAGCAAACCAGCAATCGTATAAAAAAAATAATTCTACAAAATGGTCTTCCATTTGTGATCCAGGTCTGTTAAATGGATTCATATTATGATAGAACACATAATGTATACTAACAAACATTGTTTCAGTGGTGGGATGGTAGGCCCAAAGACAAGCAAACAAGATGTTTTTTCCTTGTACTGGTTGTGGGCTTGATGAAGTCTGGATTGTGACAGATTTGAAGACACAATGATAAGAACCATCATACAGTCCTTTGTCACTGTATTCAGTAACACTGAGGTTTTCTCTCTGAAGACTTAAACAAGAGGCATAACATAAAAAAAAAAAATAATGTCAGTCATGTGGGTAAGCTGTCGTATTCCTTGTAATCCCAAAATTCCTCACCAGTTTATCTTCCACTTCTGCAGGCTTTTCAGTTGGGTCCAACGGAAGCCTCTCAGTATTGGGTCTACTGGGTGCCTGCACAGTTTGTCGATGCAATCAAAGACACAGTCCTTGGAAAATGGCAGTATTTCTAATGTGCCTCTTTTTTTGACAATGATGAACTGGGATGGAGAGGAGGAGCCAATAAAAAATATATAAAAAAAAAACAAACAAAAAACTGGAGACTAAAGTGAGGCTTGAGGAACAGTTGGGAAGCTTTTTGAAGGAAACTGACGGATGCCTGTGGACTAACTATCTTGTTTTTAGGTTAAAGGTGCACTATGCGGCAGCATACAATTTCTCAGCCCTGTTGATCAATGTTTTCAGCAAATCCAAGGGAAAATTAAAAAAAAAAAATGTACAGAAATTGCTAACACTTTTCTTCAGTTATTCTTAAAAATAAATAAAATTTATTTAATGAAATAAATGCACCCTGAGTTGTTTGACTCATTTGGTTCCTTTTGAATTGTACCTGCTTTTTGAAACACAATAAGGGTCTGATTGAGGTTTGATTTAGATCCGAAATGGAGTTTTCCAATTTGGCTTAGTTGTTTTGCTTTTTGCATATTTGCTTTCTTGAAATTAAAGTCTTATACATTACAACAAAAAGCGGGGAGAAAATTGTCAAATTTGTGCTTGAATTACAGAGCTTTTGTTTTAGGTTTTCTGAGAACCTCTTCTGCTTCACCAAATTTTGTACAGAAAAGAGGAAACAAAATTGCATCTACAAAACCACAGTAGAAGGGTTAAGATTATTGTTTATGTGTTCACAAAAAGAATAGCTGTAAATTAGGTCCTGTATATGTCTGTAATATGTCAAGCACTGACTCCAGCTGCAGTTGGTGCCTTGTGAATCTCCTCAATCTTCAATGAGCTTTGCCTTGCAATCCTTTGACAGCTGTTGTTACATGTGTATGTATTTTAAATTTTTCTTCCACCCAATTTTCCATTACTATGCATGAAAGAAGATTAGTCTTTAAAAGCTTGCTCTCCTTGTAAAAAGTGTCAGTGACTGTTTGCTGGTCAGTTGGCCAGGTAACAGTCATTAGGGGACAACTTTTGTGTATTAATAAAACAATTTTTTTGGTCCTATGTTGTATTGTCAAAGTGCATCTCTAATCATAGGATGAAGTCTCGCTTTCAAAAATGTGAAATTGATACTTGTATTTAGCTGTAATTTAAAAGTATTTCAAATTTCAAACAAGATTACATGGACACAGACGTAGATGACATGCTTTTAATTTGAAATAATCCTGCTCGGAACCTGTTCCCACGAGGAAAACCTATATCTTCCGGGTAACACATTTGGCGCGCCGTGAGAAATTAAATGACAAACTTTCCAGTCTGAGCTGCTCCATCTGGAGTCGGCTTCATTCGCCCGGTAATGTCCAAACTGGAGCAGAGCAGCAAGGACGGGAAACGTTCCCCGCCGGTTAAAGTCCTGTCAGGTCAGCTGAGGGCGGCGGGGATCCGGGGTGCAGCCGACAGCGCGGAGGGATACGTGATCCGAGCGGGCAGGGGTCGCACTCTGCGTGTGTCCCTTGTGTGGATGCAGGGCACGGTGCTGGAGGTCCAGTTGGACGGGACCACCGTGATGCTGATGGACGAAACGGGGACTTTCGCCGTCCAGGGCGTCAATAACATTCCCAAAGGGAAACCGTGTTTGCTTCCAGGTAATATGGGTGCATGTGTCATTCAAAATCTAATTATAGTAATCTAATTTAAAAATATTTATATGGTTTTTATTGTTAAATGTATTATTTCTAACACCAAACTCTTAATTCCTGAGGGAATTTGAATTGCACACAAAGTACAATTGAACGAGATTTACACTGAACTGAGTTTGTAGCCATGGAGATGAGAATTAGGCAGTCATTGACACCTTTCGCAATAAAGGTAAACCACAAAATAGCTTGAGAAAATGACTGGAGCGTGGTATTGTGCAGGGGCTTATTAATGGAAAGTTGAGTGGAAGAAAAAAAGTGTTGACGTGGTGCAAAATGTCTTGCCACTGCTGACAAGCTGAAGGTCGCTATTACAGCAACCTGGGCTTCCTCAACACCCGAGCAGAGCCACAGGCTGAGATTAAGTTATAAATCGAGGCTGTACTTTGATGAATCCTCACATTATTTCTTGGTGCTTGAATATTTTTATCCAAAGTAACCCCTGAAGTTGTTTGATCAAGTATGCACATTGATGCAACACCTAAAATATTTATTTTTCTTCTAGTAGAAAAAAAAAAGGATGTTAAAAATCAGGATATTTATCCAGACAGTGATCTAAGTTTAGGATAAATCTGCTGCTTTTGACCATCATAACTCATCACTGCATTTTCATAAACATGAACCAAGATGAATAAAATAAAAGTTTATCTAAAACTTGTAAAGTTGAATTCAGTGACTTTAAACTTTGACATTTAGGTAGCAGTCACACTTTATGTAGTGGATTTATTGAGATTCAGTATGAAAGAAAGATATTTGAGCCTAGAATTGCCAGAATTTCTGTCAAAACTATTAGAATAAATGTTAACTTTACTCTGAGAAAAATGCAATAAGTTTGAATTGCAGCCACCAAAATATTTTTTTTCCTCAAAAGCAGCTACTTTTCTCAAATGGCCAGTTTCTGTGTAAGCATTCTCTTGCATTTGCAATGTTGCATCTTGATATATTGTGCAGCTTTTTTTTAAAACCACTTACATAAATCACCACCTAAAAATTACTATTTCTGTTTCGAAACCCCTCCAGTTTTCAAATAGTCCAGTTGATTTACTTTTCCACATTGAACATAAATTGCAAAACTGTAGATCCAAAAGACGTGAAATGAATACTTAAAGGTCCCAGCCGAAAGCTTAATCAGCTGCTGTACATTTTCACCTTTGCCCACATTGATCATCCGCTGCTGTTGCAGGTAAATATGTAATGGTGATGGGCGTCGTCCAGGCCGTTTCCCCGGAGCCAGTAATCCGTGCTGTGAAGATGGCAGACCTCTCGGAGTTCGCTGCGCTCCACAGACAGATGTGGAAGCTGGAGGTGGAGGAGCTGCAGCAGGTGTTAACCTGAATATCAGACGGCTGATGAGTACTGCTAGCTGCATAGAGCAGGTGCATTTGTATGACTAGATGATGTTTGTGACTGAGGTTCTTCTCATCATACAAAATGTCTTAACCCGTTTTTTGTTTTTTTTCCCCTTGTGTATCATAATTTGTAAATATCTGTTTTACATGCACCAGAGTTGCAGTGACTTGTTCGCCTAAGGCATATTAAATCTTAATAAAACACAGTTTCAGATTTTGAAAATTTTTTTTATCTTTATTTGGTAAGGTGTCCATCACACCAGTAACACCATCAGATAAATGAAAAGTGAAAATGACCTATGTTGACTCATTAAAACACAAGAATGTCAACTCAGTTTAAGTAGTTTAATACTTAAACAGAAAAGGTCATTAACATATACAAATGTTTTGTGAAAAGAATTTTTTTTAAGATAACTAAGCATTGGAACATGTCTCTGATCAAGGTTTACACATGCTATTTTTGTCACCATATTCAGGCGTTTCTACTGAACAATGTGTAGCAAAGCTTCAGGTGTCGCACACTGAATATTTGCCATTAATGATAACACTCTGTAGATTGATCAGAGAAAAACCACCCACCAATCAGAGAGACGGTCCTGAACGCCTTCTGTTAAATCATGCTGGGATCAGGCTACTTCCTGCTCCCAGCAGAGGCCTTTTAAAAAAAAGACCCGACTCATGACTGAATACTGCCTTGTTTGCGAGTGAGCGTCAATATTTCCAGCATGTCATTATTTAATGTCTTTAAGGAGAAAACTGTATTTTCCAAAGTCATTGTCATTTGGTGCTATAAGATGGTCTTTTCTTGCTTTGGCAAGTTTCATCAAAAGGAATTCCCTGCGCTCCATCCATTCTTTCAGCTCCTGCTCTCCATGAGCCAGTTTACACAAGTCATCCTCTGTGCATGTGCCTTTGAGAAATCTGTTGAAACACAACATCAAACATCAAAAACTGCAGAAGGAGGACAAAGGCACCAGGAATAGACCAGCTGTTTAATCTGATAATCTTACCTCTCACAAACTTTGAAAGTGCCTGTGGGAAATCTGTACTGCCAGCAGTTCTGATCATCCTCCGAGTTGAAAACTCTCTCTTTGTGTTTCTCTGAAGTGATATGCTGCTGCCACTGCTTCTCGCTGTTGCAGTTTTTACCACACAACCAACAATGATTGCCGGCCTGCGAAAAAGAAATCAGCTTTTAATTTTTTTTCTTTAATTACGAGGCAAATAACCAAACTAGAACTCACAAAAACTAGGACAACAGAGCCTAAAGTCCTAACACTGCCTCCCTGTAGTTCAGAGAACTTTGAAATACTTCTGGTAGTTTATAAATCAGCGAATAGCTTAGCATCAAACACATTAAAGATCTTTTGTTATATCAACCTTACAGACCTTTTAGGTCTTCTGTTTCTGGTATACTCTGCATCCCCAGAACCAAACATGGAGAAACAGCATTCAGATTCTACACATCACAAATCTGAAAGAAACTTCCAAAAAACTGCAGGAACACAGTTTCCTTAAATTAAGGTTAAAAACTCACCTGTTCAAAGTTGCCTTTGCTTAATGGTTTGATGGCATTTGACAAAATGCAATGTTAATTGCTTGTTTCACAATTGGTTACTTTATTTTATAGTATAAAGCACATTGACCCGCTTTGTTGCTGAAGTGTGCTGTACAAATAAACTTATGAAAAACTCCACTGAAGTTGACAAAATGGTAGAGATTTGTAATCAAATTGAGGTATAAAATATTTTCAAATCAGTATCGAGATGCAACAGTCTATCAGAGGGATGCTTATTTCTTAGTTTACTTCCTGGAATGAAAGCTGTCATTTCTCTGTTGAACAGTTCATGTATCCAGAACAAACATGCCAACTGGCAGTTTAAACATGAATTGTGTGCAGAGGCAGCTGGCTCTGCAACTCACCACTTCCTCAGCATAGTCTGTCGGCATGTGGATCTGTTTGCCGTTCTCCCTGAAAGAATTATTGGACATTTCTTCCCCCCAGCCAGGCTTCTGAGACTGCAGCCACTGCTCATAAAGCTGATCCATATCTGGAACTGGAGGATGGACGTACAATGAGTGTGCTGCATTGCAAGGCGATTCGATTGTACTAATGAAATCCAAAAAGTGAGAAAGCCGAGCTCCTCCACAGGAAACTTACTGTTGTTTTCCTTCATGTAGGTCCAAAGGTCTCTTTCTTCTACACTGTGAGCAAATGTGCAATTGCCAATGTACTGACACTTCTTGCCCGCTGTCACATGCATGCAAATCTAAAATGAAACATTTAGTTACCAGTAGGCAGAAACTCAAAAAGAAAGTGTTCTTCACATTTAGGCTACAGCAAAATAGAACAATGCAGCATGTGTACCTCAAACTGAGATGGGATGGGCTTTTTGGTTGGAAGTGGTCTTACTGTTGTCCACTTTTTTCTTTCATGAGAACTTACGAGCACAACCCTCTTGTCTTTTGTCCACCTAAAATCAGAAAGAGACCAATTAATATTCGCTCATTTTGAAACAATCCAAGAGAAATTGAAATACTTACGTATGTCTTGCCTTTGCTTGGCAATACTTCTTATTTTTGTCAGCTTCACTCAATTGGCCGTTTCTCCAGCACTGACCACAAACAAACATCATCTTCAGATTTGGAGGGCCAAATCTTCTCTGGGGACTTGAAAACTGGGGACAACGATTGCAGACAGAGATACTTTGTTAGACAACTGCAGCTATTTTTATCTGTGTTAAACAGAATGAGTCGATACATTGTTTTGCAGTGTGTTTTCCACCTGTGCTCCTTGCAATGAAGCTGTTGCATTCCAAAATTTCTTTGCATCTTGAACAATACTTTCATGAGTGATACCTGCAAGAAGAGTTAAAAAAGTGAGTGAAAACATTTTTTTTCCCTCCAAGAAATCAAATCTTTGTCAGCATTCTCACAAAGGCCTCAGACTTCTGGTAGCATAACACCTTACAAATATATCAATACACTTGAAAAAATTCACATTATGAACATTAACGACCCTACAGACTCCTCCAGTTGGGCACAGAAGATGACTGCTAAGACAAACAAGCTCAGCTGAACGGTTGTTCCTGTTGTAGTGTCATTCTTCTCCTTACTGTCACTACATGCATGCTTAGTATGAGGGACCGCTGCAAAGGTGCCGACTATGGAATCAACCGTCTTCTGTTGGAAGTTCAAGTAGTGCGATTGTATGATGCTGCTCACGCCATTTTTCACACTTCAGATGTTGTGTTCTGTCCGTTTTCAGCCATATGGTTTAATTCTGATCTCATCTGACTCCAATACGCCCACCTGACCTCTACAGATCTTTGCAGTTCATGCAAAGTCAGCTGGTATTGATACTCTAATAGTTTCATATCAAACTGTAGGACTTCTTAAATTATTGATGGTATTTCGGACTGACATTCATCTCTTGCGAAATGCTAAAGTAAGACACGTTGCTTACCAAGTTCATGTTGCATCATCCAGACCTTGAGTTCGATCAGGCTGTGGGCGTAGAAACAGTCGTCTTCTCTTACGCAGCCATAGCGCACTTCATGCCGGCAAAGATCCAGCTGACTCTGGGGACTCAAAGGTCTGATTTTAGAATAACGAACTGTATTGTCCCTCAAAATGTGAACCAGGCACCTAAGAGGAGACAAAAAAAATAGAAAAAAAAAAGTTGGTAATTGGATCATTTTTTCACAATTTCTAAATTTCTCTGAATCTCTCTGAAAGGAGGTTTTAAGACAGCATTTTGCCAATTTTGAATGACTCACTTATGAGTCTCAAAGTCATGCTTTGTCACCGGATGAGAGCAAAGAGATGGGTCATCTTTGTTGGTCTTGCTGATTATTCTGGGTTTGTGGTCAAAGCACACCTGCAAGACAAAGAGGGTGCATTAAGGAAGTTTCATAATTTCCCAAATAACACATTATCTGGTTCATTTTAGCTAAACAGACAAATCAGGAGGAAATAATATCAGGAGGTTAGTTAAGAAGATTCTTTAGAATTTCTACCAATGAAGTATTGCCAATGCTTAGGTCAAGTACTACCTCAGTCTTTTTTCATTGGTTTATTTGTAATATTTGTATATTTCTGTATAGATCTTTAAGCATGTTGCAGTTTCATTCATGTGATTTTTCTTCCACTGAACTAATTACATGAGAGTGAATGCTTCTCCTCCCCCATACAGAGTCAGCTAAATATGACACTGTGGGAATTCCCCTGAACTTTTATCCTCAGTGAAACGAAAGGACATGAAGTTGGCAGTTTAAAAATTATTCCTTTGCCAAAGAAAAAAAGTCACAACTTACCAGAGTGCTGCCGTCCATTACACTTTTTATATTGGAACTGTTTTAAAGACATGCTTGCTACGAGTTAGCATGTCTGTCATTAAATATGGACTGCATGCTATGAAGCAGTGTTTAAAAAAGCAGATCATTTGGCTAATTACTTTGACAACACTAACTTTTTTAGATCAAAAGCTGTTGTAGATTTATAAACTGTTAGTCATTTTATAATATAAAAAAAAATATTGCACCCATTAAGAGTTGGAACAGTAACAATATGTCACAATAACTGAAATAAATCTATTGTTATTGCTATAACAGAAATAGACATTGTGACACTTTTACTATTTTTGCTGAGATATATATATATATATATATATATATATATATATATAAATATAAGAGAGGTATTTTTGTTAATTGTTAGAATCTCCTGGATGCAAACTTGTAGTTTAAACAAAAAACAGAAGTACAAATATGGAGTCCACAAGAACAAAGCCCCTCAGCAGTCCAACACAGCTGAGATGATGTTATATGCTCGATTTCTAAACATATCAATGAGCCATATTTTCATCACAATAGTCCGGCAGCAAGGAAGACGAGTGTTAAACTCTTTTGGACTTTAAATCAAAATAAAGGAGCCAAAACACCACCATTAACATGGAATATTTTTACATAAAATGTTGACTCATTTAGAAATAAATTATCTTATTAATCCACAGAGCACTTAATGGATCAACCTCTCACATGATCTCTGACACCCTCAATTTCCATGACCGGATAAGTGCAGACATTTTTGCTTTTTTCTTAATCAAATTTGGCAGGTGAGAATTTAAGTTGATGTCGTTCTTGATCCAAAGTCATTCCAACTGTGACAACATTTAAAAAGCATATTTTCAGGAGGCCTTCAACTAAAAACT